GAACCCGGGAAGTAACTTGTTGTAGTCCCTACCAGCTGTTTTTGTAGTCATTAAACTGCCACAATTTTAAAGGACGATATCTCCGTTTGCACTGAACTTTCAGCTTTGTAACTTTGCAGATATTGTTTATGCTCAAACAGCAACATTACACACTAACTAACGTTAAAAAGTAAAATTGCAATGAACCACCCCTTTAATATAGTTTTGCGCTATTGTTCACTGGATCTTTTTCGCCTTGTTGAATTGCTGTTCTATGCCGTTCAACTTTTATTTATAGCAAGTGGGTCAGATAAAGCCATCACCATCTGACTCTGAAACTCCAGTGCCACTAAACACTACAAGGTTGGAGTTGGATAGGACAGGAGCCATTCTCCACAGAAAGAGAGAGAGAACATTTTAATCACACTATTTTTTAAACCAGCTATTTCGAATGTCAAATAAACTATTTCACCAGTTAGCAATTGCAAGCAGACACAAAGAGCTCGTCAACACTGAATCTGCTTGTCTTCTGTCTGCAACCTCTGGATATGACATAGCTGCAAACGTCGTAATTCGCTCCTTGTATCAATTTAAAAAAATCAATTAAGCGTGAAAATTAAAAATATATATATATAAACATTAATTATAATTATTAATTATAAACACAAAAAATTAATTGTATAATAAAAAAAAATCAACTAATCAATTAAAAACAACAAAAAATGTGATAATCAATTTAGCAATTAATGTAGAATTTATTATGTAATTAGTTATGATTTAATTTGCATATAATCTTTGTGTAAAATTAACGTTTAATTAACATTAAATATTTTATTAATTATAAACACACACAAATTACTGTAAATATCAAATTAAAAATGCAGTGATGAACTCATTATTTGTATTTTATTTAATATATATATATATATATATTGTAAATAAATATGATTGTATACAAAATAATATTCTTATCTACTAGCAGTAATTTATATCATTAAATCATATATTTGTGGCTATTATACATATATATTATAGCCATAAATATATACGATTTAATTATATAAATGACTGATAGTAAAAAGTAATTTATAATTTCATCACAGTTGCTAAACTGATATTGTGTGTGTGTGTGTGTATACAGTATATATGCATAATATTTAAATTTAATAAATAGTATACACATATCTACTGTCAATAAAATCATCATATTATTATTATATTATTTTAATATTTGTGTAGCTATAATATGTAATTATTATATCATATATAATTATATATTTCATTGACCACTCTTCTCTCTAGTTATCAACATTGACCATCAAAAAATAAATAAATAAACAAACACAATAAATAAATACTAATTTAAAAATGCTTGGCTTGACTATTAGTCATCATCAACAATGCTACCCTGCAAGTGCACCAACTTTAATAACCAGAAATGACCAGGGTGTTATTTTACCCGTTACTCTGAATGACAAATGAACTATTCCACCGGTTAGAAATCGCTCACATCAAGTAGACACATTAATGGCTGTCCAAACAGAGCAGGCGATACGTTCTGCAGTGGTGTCAGTGCAGTTGAGCTGGCCATTCACATGAGATAATGAGCCCCAAACACAGCGGCCCCAACAGCACAGCAACTACTAAGAGCACAGAGACCAACACTGCTGCTGATTGAGAAATGAATCCTCCTCTAGCTGTCATCAACTTAAACCTCCCTGTCTCTCTCTCTCTCTCCCGCTGCCTCTGTCTTTTCTTTATCTTGTTTCCTCGACTCGGCTTCTTTCCGTCCCCCCGCACACTGCTTATTCTGTCGGATTATGACTCAGACAGCTTTCCTGACAGTGACGGCGGAAACAGAAGAAATGCAATTCAATAAATGGCCAGCGCTGAGAAAAATGCAGGAGGGGCCAAAAAACAGTGGCAGCTCAACCATGAGAGAAATATTAATGTCTGAAACCGGTCTGAACTTCTAAAGAGGATTTCTAGCTGCTGTTTTTCTGGTTTCTGGCATTTGGTTTTCATAGAACCATGTATATACCACATATGAATTCTGTATTCAAACAGTACCCAAATATAAATATAAAAAACAAATAGCAGCTCAATAAAAATCTATCTGTATCCCTTACAAAACGTTCCATAGTATTACTATCATACAATCATGGTAATAGTTTACCTTAGATGGTAATACTGTAGTATTCTTTGAAAGACCATCAAAATATCATGGTAAATGTCTATAATAATCAAATACATATATCAAAATACTCTGTTTACCATTTACATTATATTTTTGTAATTAGATGTTATGCACTATAATTAAAATAGAATGATAAAAAAGAAAATCTAATAAAAATTTGACATTTCTATGCACACACACACACACACA